TGAGTCCCTGACTACGTCTATTGTCAACCGCTCCCAAGGATGCTTCGTGTGGGCACAGCTTGCCGCTGAGGCAGTGCGTCACCAGACCACCTACAATGAAATGACCACAGCTGTCCACAGAATGCCCAACACGTTAGGTGATCTCATTGACTACCACGTGCGCAATATCAACCTCAATCGTCTTGGTACGCAGAGCCTACTTGCTTGGTTGGTAGCTAGTGAGCGGCCACTGCGCATCCCAGAGGTTGAGCAACTGTTGTCTGTTGATCTGAAGTCGCTTAAGGTTTCAACTCGTCCACCAAATGTCGAGCGTGATGTCTTCCAGCCTCTTGGGCGGCTGATCTCCGTGCGTGATGGCTTCGTTTCTTTCCGTCATCCCATGGTCCGCGAGCATCTTCAGGCTAGAGCCCAGATGCGTCAGGAGCTTCCGTTCTCTCTGGCAGATGCACACTACGATCTCTTGATCCGCTGCCTGGCGTGGGTACGTCGCTCGGTATCCGACGAGATCTCTGTCTCCTGGGACAAAATGAGTGTGGAGGTCCGCGACCGCTACCTGGACGCCTATGTGCTTCTTGAATATACCGCCAGGTACTGGCTTTCCCACATGCTGTCCTCACCGATGGCTTCCTCCGACCGCGAGCTCTCATTCCCGTCTGCCTTCCGGCGGGCTCTGCCCGACACTGTGTTGTTCGCCCAGCTGGAGCTTACCAACCGTGAGTCGCAGTTCAGTCGGTCAAGTATTGTTGAACTGTATCGACTGGCGGTTGGCGTCCGCCGTGTCGTGCTCGGAAGCGATTCCCCGGCTGTCCTACAAAGTCTGATCCTCAGTGCTCGGGCGTCTGAGAAGGCACGTACCTCCTGGGCTAATGATCATCTCTACCAGGCTTGGACTGTGAGCCGAAGTCAGCTGGGAACTAGCAGTACAATCACCCAGGAGCTGGAGCAGATGCTCGTATCCTCGCCAGCCGCTGGTCGCCTGACCAGTGGAGGAGGCAAGTCTGTCACATTGAGAGAAATGACGATGACCGGCTGGGGCAAGTCCGACATCAGCTTCCCCCAGCGGCTCCAGTATCTTGATCGCCTTGTCAACATGTATCGAGAGAACAACCAAAATGATGAAGCTTATAACGTTTCCAAGGACTTTTACCGCCAGACTGTGAAGACCTACGGTGCTCACTCGTCGGAGACCATGCAAGCCGCTGAATTCCTCACGAAGAACTTCGATATTGCACCTTCCGATGAGCTGGCTTTGGAATTGGCCAGCATAAAGTATGAAAACATGCTTCGTTCCATGGATGCGACTGACCCGCGCCGGGTGACTTACTCTCTGTACCTGGCTCAGCTGTATGAGCAAAATGGTCAAGTGTCCAAATCCGAGACCGTGCTGTCCCGACTCTGGACAGGACTGTCGGCACGCGAGGCTGATTCCAAAACATCCTGGGACCAGAAGACCAAGGTTGCTTTCTACTACTCGCAATTCCTGCGTCGTCGGGGTCAATCTGACCGGGCCACGTCCATCCTCCGCGAACTTTCAGCCGACTTGGAAGCTGAGGGTGGTGTCAAGTCCCCAGAAATGCTTAAACGTGCGGAGGAGCTGCGCGGTGAAGCGCGGGAGATGAATCTGACCGACATGGACCGCGCACTCGCACTGGAGATGTGGAAGTACTACCAGTCATCTGGTCAAGTGTACTCAGCCCAAGCAGTGTCCTTGGCGGAAACACTTACCGAGGGTATGATCCCCAGCCAGGATGCTACTACAGCTGAAACCGAATACATTATGGCGGGAATGTCTCCCGAAGACCAGGAGCTTCTGCCCGGCTGGATAGACAGCCTGGCCTCTGCAGGAGATACCCGCAACATGAAGTCCATCATGATGCTTTGTCACCAGTTGTCTACTCAATGTATCCGGGAGGAAGAGTGGCGCAAGGGCTCAGACTATTCCTGGGCTGTGCTGAAGCATGCCTGGCCAGACGTTGAGGATGTCCAAACGAGGGCCAAGTTCTCTTCTGATCTTTCCCCGTTGATGTCTAGTCTTGCCCTTGACTACGCGTACTGTATTTTCCGTCGCTTGGATGTTAAGAGAGCCACCATTGTCTACGGCAACGCGTTCAAGGCTTCGATTACCGCAGACCAAGTGGCGGTGCCAGCTGTTACTACCGTGACGAAGACCGTGGTTGAGTTCTACGAGACCACATTCCAGTTTGACAAGGCGTTGATCCTCCTGCGACAGGTGAGCGAGTTCTTCGCCTCGCGCCTAGGTGCGCACGACAAGCACACGCTGGACAGCCGCTATTATGAGGCCGACCTGGCCTTGCGTCTGGACCGGCGTGCGGAGGCTGAAGATAGCTACCGTCATATCTACAAGGCTTGTGTTCGTGAGGGCAGGATCTCCTCGTCTGGTGTTCGTGCGGCTGTGGCTCTAGCCAACCTTTACGAGCAAGACAAGAAATGGGATGCTGCGCTCGACGTCTATCGTCATCTCTGGCCGACCTTGGTGCACTTCGATGAAAAGGACGGCTACGACCGTGCTTTGCAGGAAGGATTGCTTCCTAAGACCTATGCTGGGTACATGGCCATCCTCGAGAGTACATCTGGTCAAGCGGGCTACGAGGAGCGTTACCAGGTTGCATCACAGCACCAGCAGCTGTGCCGTAAGCTGTATGGAGCGACTAGTCACCGTACCCGAGATGCAACCATGTATCTCGCAGCGCTCTGCGCTAGCAGCGACCGGCATACCAGCGAAGCTATTGACCTGTACCGACAGGTGCTAAAGACCAGCGACTGGGTGTCTGCCACGGAGGCGTCACGCTCTCTGCCTGACATGACACAGCCGCTACCCATGGACATCAAGCATCGCATGGCCCAGCTTCACTTGCGCAACAAGGATACGTCGCAACAAGCTCGTGCGTTGTACATCGAGGAGCTGGCACTCTCCAAGCAGCAGCAGGGTCTCTCCGCGCCCACCACGCTCATGTGGCTACGTGAAATCGCTCGCTTGTACTCTCTGCAGGACAACATTGAGTCCCGTCGGAAAGGTGCCGACCTACTCAATGAACATGTTGATGAGGTCGTCCACGTTACCGCCAATCAAGACGCCCTGATATATCGCGCCCGCCGGCTGGCAGAGATTTACCTGGAGTGTGGATATACTACCGAGGGCTGGGCGCTTATCGACAGTCTGCACCAGCAAGTCATCCACGACACCCCCGCGGCACAGCGGAAGAATCTCGATGAGTACCGGCCCGCAGTATTCGTGGCATCTTTCGAGGAGGTATTTGGCCGCACACGCAGCTCGAGCCAGATCCTGGACGACTTGTCTCGTGAAGGCGAGGTGTACAACGTTTTCCAGCAGAGCCTGGCTGGTCATGATCTCATGCCCACCCTTGCAGCTGGTGAGAAATTGCATCGCTTGCAGACGGAACAGAAGCGCAGCACAGCAGCACAGAGCACCCAGAACAAGCTGTACGACTTCTTCTGCAACACGCTCTCTGTTTCGCAGTCAGCCCGCAAGAAGGATGCTGTGTATCAGTTCTATTCCTTGTGCCGGCGCGAGTCATTGCATGATGACTACAATCTCAACATCATCACCCAGACCACCAGCATGGTCCGGGATCTATGCAACCAGTCGAGATTCCAGGAAGCCACCGATGTGACTAGTGTGTTCCATTCTTTCGTCCATTTGACCGATGGACTGCGCTCGACGGAGAGCATCTTCATTGCGATCAAGCTGTGCTTGTATCTCTGCGGTTACCAGGTGAACAAGTGCACTGAAACTACCACGGCCAATGCAATGTCTCTGGAATCGAAGACGCTTCTCCAGGAAGTCATGAACAACGCACGTGATATCCCTATGGAGTTCTCAGAACTTCCATTCGAGGAGCTCAACGATCTGGTGACGGTGCTGGGAGAACACGAAATGTTCCAAGATCTCGAGGTAGGTAGCCTTCTTCTTAACTCACACGGTATCCCCTCTAACGAAATCAGGTTATTCTCACCGACCTCTGGACCTCTCGGATTGTCCAGAAGACCTGGACTCTGCCCGCAGTTGTCTGGATTGGCCGGCGTCTGGTCGAGACCCGGTTCTGCCGCGGCCATGTCACGGCCGCCACGACACTGGGCAAGGACATTTGCTACAACCTGCGCCAAGTCTGGGGCAACTCCGACCCCGTCACTCTCGAAATGAACAAGCTGCTCTCCGGACTGTACACGGCGTCCGGAAACAACCTTGCTGCGGCTGCTCTGCACGAGACAGCCCTGGCAGAGCTGTTGAACGACGAGACCGAAGACCAGTCAGCTGCTATCAACGCTGTCACTCAGCACCTGGAGCTGTTGCAGCGGGCACAGGCTCGTCTGGCCAAGGAAGGGCAAAGTGCAGCCATCGACGCGTCGGCGGCCCAGGAACGCGTACAGCAGATTGCAACCAAGTTTGGCTTGTCATCGTCCAAGCTGGAGCAGCCGTCCACGGCGGATGATTCACTTGGCATGTGGGAGCGCCCCCGGCGGTTCAGCTTGGATGTCGAAGAGGCAGCCAAGCACTCGAACCATCTGCGTCAATCTAGTGGGTCTGCGTTGCTGACTGGCAATGCGGGTGCGAAGAGGCTTTCGATTACGGCTTTGTAAGGGGTTGAACTACAGATTGAAAACCAGATTGCCAATTTTGTAATTAGGTGTTGGGGTGTTTATAGTGTTATAGTAATGTAATAATATTGTTTCTTCTGTTAATCACTACGAAGATATTATTCATATGTTGACTATAGAGCATTCCTTAAATATCCATATAAAAATATGGGAATCATAGAATAACAAATGAAAGAGAAAAAGGTACTATCCTTATGCTTTTAGTCTGTTTGTTGTTGGGATAATAAGATAAGGCGTCTAATGACGTGGAACACAATCAATGCCCGATACACTTACCAGATCACGTTATTTCGGACTAGTAACCGCTGATCGTGGGATGCAGCGAGTTTGCAACCTCCACTTTCTTCCTCAAACCAGCATCAATGGCTACCACTGTCCCAATACCATACTTTGCCCCTGACATCATTCCTTGCCCGCTACCCACAACTTCAGAGATCGACGCAGCACCCGACATATCCTTGGAGTATGGAGGACGAAGAATCGTCGAGATAGGCGACCATCTGGTAGTGAAGTTCGGAAACGCCGTGGACCTTATCGAAGGAGAGAACATGTTATTTGTCCAAGAAAACACCAGCATACGAGTCCCTCGAGTCTATGCACTTTACTCGGACCCATCGACGGGCAAGAATTACATCGTTATGGAGAAAATCCCTGGACAGACTCTCCTGTCCCTGTGGCCACAGCTAATCCCATCGGAGAAGGAAACCATCGTCACTACAATTCATGACTACTTCAACGAGCTACGACGTTTACCCCCACCAGACTACTACGGTAGCTTAGGCAGACGATGCTTTCTTGATGAAATATTCTGGACTTATGACCCTGAACCGTCGATCAATGGACCGTTCACATCGGAAAATGCTCTTATCGAGGCAATGGCTCGGAAATATACCTACGACGGTCGGCCACCGTATCGAGCTGACTTCTACCGCCAGTGTTTACCGCGTTTGCTCCGTAGCCATGGTCCAACATTCACCCATGGTGACTTTCAGCGGAAGAACATACAGATCCAAAGGGTGGTAAACAACAGTGATGGACAGGATACCTCACATCTACAGGTTACTGTTCTTGACTGGAAAAGGCGGGTTGGTATCCAAGCTACTGGGAGTATTGTCTTGCTGTCTGCGCGTTGCGATGGGATGATGACTGGTGTCTTTGGATTGAGAAGGTGCTGGATCCTTGTGTCGCTGAATCGGCGTGGTTTCAAGCGGTTCGGTTGGAGTTATGGTCTTAGAGCGTATTTATTCATAAGTCATTTATTGGTTGAAGATCGCATACCGCAGCGAAACGCCACGCGTAGTGAGTAATTGTCCGATACGGGCGCATTAAGGGGTAACCGCTGTCACGTCACACAGTCTTGGAGATACTCTGTTCCGGCAGGGGGTGGATCGATCAAGCCTCCCTCCGTAGTCAGTTGGCAGGGCATTCTACTCATTATGATCAACGGAATGACAAGCAGGTGGTCCCCAAGAATAAAACAGCTATACTGCTCTGCGCGATCTCTGATCCTCCGCCCTTGAAACCTTGGGACTCCCAACTCTGTAAGAGCGTTGTCAACGACAGAATGTGCACGGCAGTTAACAGTCGCCTCACTCGAGGATCTTTTCCGCTACACTTCCGGAAGATGGCTGTAAGTGCTATGAGATTAGTGTCCAAAGTAATACCAGTCAGGCTAATATCATGTAGCTTCAATGAACATCTGCGTTTATCGAAACGCTTCCTCAAATTCGATGTGCTCGCACTTCAAAACATCATTTCCAGTGCATCTGGTCATTCAATATCCGAACTCGAGTCATTTACTAAGCTATCAGAGGGTGGGTACAACCGTGTATTTGAGGCTACCTTTAGCGATGGAAAATGTGTTCTCGCGAGACTACCCTATCCAAGTACAGTGCCAGAGCATTACACAGTAGCGAGCGAAGCAGCGACTATGAACTACCTTCGCCTACATGGATTTCGCATACCAGAGGTATATTCCTGGTGCTCAACTAAGTCTAATCCAACCGGAGCTGAGTTTATCATTATTCAGAAGTTGGATGGTACCCCTCTCGGCGATAGATGGTTTTCAATGACCCCAAAGGAGCAGTATAAGATCATGACACAAATAGTTGAATGGGAGACGCGTTTGATGTTATTGAAGTTTCCTACCTCTGAGAGCCTCTACTACTCGAAGGATCTTCCATCTGAAAAGAGGGCGAAGCTAGACGATCCGAACAGCATGGCATTCTGCATAGGGCCAATAGCCCATTATAGTTGGTGGCATGGTGAGAGAGGCATTATGGATATTGACCGTGGACCCTGTGGGTGATTCTATCAAATATCATAAGCCTCATAACACTAACTTCAACGCGAGAACAGGGCCATTATCAGTTGACATCTTCCGAGCAGTTGGAGAACGTGAACTAACCTGGGCCAAAGCCTATGCGAAGCCTCGCTTGCCCGATGAGCGGCTTTATAGGGAGATTTACAAATTCAAGCGCGTCTCGCCGGATACCCACGTTACAGATCTTGTCAACTACCTCAAAATTGTACCTAGTTTAGGATATTGCAATCCATCCTTGGATCGACCAGTCATGCACCACCCCGACCTACAGCCAAACAATATCCTCGTGTTTGAGACGAATGAAATAACTGGCCTCATAGACTGGCAGCATTGCGCGATTCTCCCTCTTGGTATCGTTGCTGGGATTCCAGCTCACTTCCAGAACTATGGCGATCCAGAGTCAGAAATGCTCAAACAACCTCAGCTTCATCTGCCCTCTGACTACGACTCCATGACATCCTCCGAGCAGAATTCAGTTAAGGAAATTCATCGCAGAAGAGTGATTCATTTCCTGTACGCCGCCCTGACTAAAAGACTGAATCAAGATCACTACGATGCTATCTTCGACCAGTCAGTTATACTCCGCCTACGCCTTCTCCAGAGTGCCGGTAGTCCCTGGGAGGGAGACTCAATATCACTGCGTGCTGAGCTCATTCGCTCAATAATGAACTGGTCGGCGATCATCAAGTCTACTCACGTTGCCCCGCCAGTGGACTATCCAGAAGATGTTGTCCGGGAGACAATTGACTTGGATGCGCAGCAGAGAGAGGCCGATGTGGCAATGGAACAGATGCGACATGCTTTAGTTGTCGATATCATGGGATGGGTACCGAATGAAGATTATGAGGCTGCCAGAAGACTCGCATCTGGGATAAAGGGTAAAATGCTTGAAGCGGCGAAGACTCCCGATGAGGTTATCGCTATCCGAATACATTTCCCTTTTGATGATTTCCATGAAGGGGCTTAAGGCAATGTTCAAGAAATTAGTGCAATTCTCAGGAGATTCGTTGCTGGCTGATGCAGGAAAGGGCCTATGTACCCTGCGCTGTTTGTTTTGAAAGCATGTTCCGGGGGCAGCTCAGATACTAGATGCATATGTTAACCAAAATGTATAGATTCAGAATTTAACGTAATACTAGACGATTATCGACCCCAAAAGGTCAAACCCTCAATAAAAGAGCCCTGCCGTGCAGCGGGAGGTGTGCGGGAAGAAAAAATTCTGGTGAGAAAAAGAATGACCAGACTGGGGCTCGATCCCAGGACCTTATCGGTGTTAACGATACGTGATAACCAACTACACCATCCGGCCAATTCTATGTTGATAGGCTAAGTATTTTGCAATATAAATGGAAGTTAATTTAGTGGCGGAGCATAGTCCCAAAACGATCAGCTCTTGGCAAAGGAATCCTTCGTTCGTTTGGTTCCTATAAAAAGGCGCCATATCCAGAGCCTTTTCTATTACGGTCAAAAATTGACGGAATGGTTGGGGTATAGCAAGGAATGACTTCCTTCAGATTGGAAAGAGGGCTGTGAAGCGATATGAGACAGGGGTGCAGGAAAGTTAATGTGATTAAGAGGGCTTCTGCTAAGACGCATATCAAAAAGTTAAGGAAATCTAATCTACTGAATTCTGTACAAAAAAGTCCAAATATTGTTCCAATCTTGGAAGACTGGTCAACTTACCAAACACCTAGGTATCGTAACGATGGCAGCAGCCCTATACACCAGTCTCATTGCAACCCGCGCGGATAAGGCGAAGGTCGTCAGTGCTCGATTTAAGCCTGTTGATGGTCGAGCTCGCACCCTTCATGTATATGAAGATGGCACGGGGACCTTCGACAAGGATGATGTTTGTGAGTATTCATCTACTCTCACACAAAGGGCTTGGGAGAAACTTGGAACGTTAGGTCCTAGTTAGGTTGCATTTAGACCTCCTAAGAGCGGTGGCCTAATCTTGCTCTGTTCTCCTGCGGTGCGGAATTGACATCGTGGAGTCCCAGACATTCTCATGGAGGTCGAGCTCTTCACGTTCATATTGCCTTGCATCCCACTCAGTCCAACCCCCTTGGTCTCTGAGTAGCTTTGCTGCACCGAATTCGGCATTCTTTTCTGCCAATTTGACTGCTCGAATGTATTGGCGACGGCCACTTGCCACAATTGATGCACCTTCGTTCAGAAGCAGCTGCAGCATATCAATGCGACCATGTTCCGCAGCCCCCTCCAATGCTGTTCTGCCATTTCGTAAGGACTTTTTTGCGTTGACATCGGCTCCCTTTGCAAGTAATTTGCGAGCGATACCGATGTATCCCTTGATTGCAGCAAACTGGAGCGCTGTTCCGCCCCTAAATTCGGCCGCACACTGATTAGGATCTGCTCCAGCGTCCAATAGCATGTCCACTATTTGAACACTTCCATCTTCCACCGCGGCTTGTAATGCCGTTCTTCTATATTGAGACGAGACTGGTCGGTTGACGTCTGCCCCTGCGTCTAGGAGAATCTTTACAATGTGCCTGTTTCCGGTGCTCACTGCAGCGCAGAGAATTGATTGCCCTTTGACACTTTCAAAAGGTACGTTCGACAAGATGCTCCGATCACAATCAGCACCAAGAGCAACCAGGCGTCTAGTCAGAGAGATATCCTGCCTCCGAACGGCGAGCCAAAGGGGAGGAATTGAGTCAAGGTGAATCTTGACCGCCTGATTCACATCCGCACCGGCATCCAATAAATCCTGTACCGCGGAATTGCGACGGTGATACAGAGCTGTGGTGAGCGCTCGTCCTTTTTCAACCGCAGTCCATGTTCGTGAATGTAGAAGGGTCCTAAGTGACACACCATTTCGCCAAATGACTGCTCTCTCAAGGATAGAATCGAGAACTTCGCAGTCGAGGACTCCGTGCAGCTGGTACAGGAAAATATTGTCCAAAAACCCGCTAGCAACAACTTTGCCTCCGGGGTCAAGACCAATTTCTAAAAAGCGCCGCACAAGAAAAACAATGTGATCATATTGTAAAGCCTTCTCGAAGGCATTTGGGACAGCACAAGGCTGCTGTGACAAATTGTCCAAAAGCAGTTGAAGAATTCCAAAATGTTGCGAACCGCATCGATAATCCTCGACTGCTGCTGTCAGTTCAAGATCTCCGATGCTTGCTCCTCGTACAATCAGAAGCTTTGCCAATGAAAAGCTCTCTGGGAAACGTAAGTAAAAAATTGCAGCTGCAAGCGGAGATAGGCAAACAGTGGCGTAATCCAAAAACCTCCAGTACCGCTCAGGCCCAACAGGCTGAAGTGAACACTTTGACATCATGAAAAATGGCTTTAGACCGACATTTTTAGGCTGCTTGTCGACATTACGATCGAGCAAATATCGGACAAGACCATCATCGCTTCTCTGCGACATCCTAATGGCAGACACGAGTATCGGTTGACCATAGCAATGGAGGATTTGAGGCAGCAGCCCAAGCTGTTCCAAGTACATTGCAGTTTCCAAGTTTCCGATTTGAATCAGGCTTTTTCCAATTTCTGTCGCTCCAGCTTGGAGAAGAGATCCAACCATTTCGCAGTGGCCACCTACTATGGCTGCGCCGAGGATGGTGTCTGGGACCTTGTCGTAAAAAGTTTCATTCTTCCTTGCGCCCCAACTCAATAGGGAAATTGCAGTGTCGATATTGTTCATCGCTACATTTTCATACAGGATGGAGGTATAGTAATCCTCCATCTGAGTTGGCTCTACACTGGCTCCGTAGGATATGAGCAGTCTGGAAGTTTCGAGATCGTTTCTCGCAAGAGCCCGTTGCACGAGGCTCATTTCTTGGATTCCATCACCAATAGAGACTTCTGCACCCGCCGATAACAGACGCTGTGTGATATTGATGGCACCACATTCAACCGATAAGACGAGTGGGGGGATGTAGTCATCTGATGCCTCTTGGTGGTTGATATTTGGATGGGTATCCAAAAGAAGATTGATTATGTCGTCGTTGCCTTTCCTTATCGCGAGTCCAAGTGTGGTTGATCTGACAATGTAGTCTTCACAGAACTTCACATCTAACTTCACATCTTGAATTGCGTCAACATCCGCGCCTAAGGCAAGCAGATATTGTGTCAGAGACACATCGTTTCGGTCCACAGCAAGCCCGAGGATCGAAAGGTCGTATGAGCCACCGCTTCGTTTGTTGATATTGGGGTCAATATCAAGGAGCATAGAGAAAAGGCCTGGGGTTCTCGTCTTAATTGCGGCGCTTAATGCCTCTCCTGGTATAGGAATATTTCGAGCCAGAAATAGTTTGATGAGCTCATTATTTCTTGAGCGGATTGCTTCACAGAGAGCCCTTTCTAGGATGCTTATATCCTTGAGCCCAGAACCATATGATAGGAACAAGTTGCACATGTCCAGAGCCGCTCGGGAGTCTCTGAAGTTGGAAGCCAGTACCAAAGGTGGCACGGGAAATCCATCATGAACAATTGGAATATCAGGACTCATACCAGCTTCCAAAGCCATCCGAACCATTCTTACGTCCTCGGATCTCACCGCACTTGCAAAAAGCTTGTGCGATATAGCATGTGCTGTTGCCCCGGGGAGGGAAAGTAGATATTTGAGGTTGTTGACGGTATCCAGGCCCGATTGATAGAATGTTGCCATGATCGTTTGATCTTCCTTGCTAGTCCTAGGCTCTCCTCGCTTTATATCATGGAAATAGGCATTCGTCTCAGAATCGGGGTCATCATCCGTCTCGTCATCCGAGTATACATCCAAGAATTCTCGTATATTTGATTGCCAAGAATCATCATCAGGCTCAGAGACTTGAAAACTGTTGGAAAGCAGGAAAAGTGCAACTTGTAAGCGCTCCACGGCATCACTGCCACCTCTGAGACCGCAAAGTCTTTCTGCTATGTAAAGGTTTTGACCTTCGTGTTGTTCAGGCATTATTGAGCTCAGAGCTGCTGCTACCCTGGCGCTATTGCGTCCGGTGCGCAGCACTTTGGCATGGCTTCCGATCATAAGGGAGCCGAGAGAATCGATGAGACCACCTTCGATGATTTGGGAAGGTAGGTCCATTTCCCGAACCCCTGGAAGATGTTCCAGTGAAATAGATGGGTTGCCTACTTCATGTTAATGTTAATCAATCTCACAGTAGTTGTTAAATCTGAGTCTTACTCGGGACGTTTTGTAAACTGCTCAGCGCAGTATTGGAGAAAATAAACCATGGGAGATTCTGTGGCCATGTAATTTGAAATATCAACGGACCAGGAGAGCAGACAATAAGTCCTTCAGGTGTTGGGGACAATGGCTCTATGTTGTGTCAATCATCTATGTTGAGCATCCTTGACTTCTGGATAGGCTCACCTTGACGATATTTGTCAGTCTCTCTCTGAAAACCCTGGCGATGAATCTCAAATTGCACTGTTTTTGGATCGTAATAGACCCCGTCGAACCAGACTTCGAGATTCTGCCCTTCAGCTGCCCTCTTTTGTATTTCTCTGTTGACGTGTCTCCACTTGAGAGCGCCCATGCGATATTTCTTAAAACCCCATTTCTTAAGCCTCGCCGTGTATTGATACTTCCTGCACGATGTGAGAAATTGACCGATCATTGTTCACAGGAGTGTCGGAGTGCATACGTTTTGCGAAAGCCATATGTCGTTTCCATAAATTGCAAGACCTCCTCTAGCTTTTTGTTCTCTCTGATGTAAAGGCGCTCGATCTCTGCCTTATGAGCCTCCCATTCCGCATCTGCCATGGTGCCAACGGCAGAGTTGAGGAGCACAGGGGTTGATATCGCATCCGGAGTTGAGTCAAATATTCTACGTTGGAACCTTCCAAGTATTTATTTGCGGGTGAGCTAGGGCGGGGATAAGGCTGAGCGAGGTATTCGGAGGCTGTAAACCCCTGATTTCCACGTCATCACCGCCACATCGTTGCCAAAGTATGCACACTATGCGGCCCGAGGTGTCCTGATTGGATATTATCAAAATTTGGTGAGCTGAGGATGCGCCCCGCCCACCTTGTTTGACATGCTATGATCGGGCAAGCGTCTAGAGCCCTGTGGCTGCACGCAAAGGAATCCCATTCAGTGATTAGCTGATATCCAAATTTGGGGCCCACTACGCTGATCGGCGCGATCAGCGCCAACCCTCGTCATGCAAGACGAATCTCAATAGTGCTTCTTTAATCTAGAGCGGGATGAAGATAGAATACGCTGATTGGTTCTCATCCAATTTGTGATGAGGCACGAAACGTTCACTGACAAGAACAATATTTTGAAAAGTCTACTGTGGTAAACGAACTGTTCGCCCAGGGCATCAACGCCCTGATAGCGTTGTATATAAGTCCCCTTTCTATCTCTTTGAACCTTTTGTTCCTCAAAGCAACAACGCTCTCCAGCTTCAAAGACTTTTCGCTCTTCAATTATCTCTCTGGCCTTAACCCCGTCTCAATAGCTTGGTCATGTCGTGTACTCCGTTCGGTATCGACAGGTTAGAGCCGGAACTCTGGAAACAAGGCGATGATCAATTGGTTGGATGGCCCTCAGAATCCACAAGAGATATTGCTCAGCATTCGCTCTTCCCAATATATGAGGGACAGGACAATTCAACCATGAATCATTTATTGTTCAACTATTCCCTCCAGCCTACCTCAGTACCGCCCCTATTTGATTATACACAGGCCCCAGTGGCCTTTCAGACCGGTACGGGGACATCGAGCGAGATGGCTAATGTCATGTTGTCGGGGTGCTATCAATTCGAAGGCAGACCCATACAAAACGCCGACCAATGTCCGGTATTGGACCGATCCCTAATGCACAATGTCGATCAGAGCGGTTGTATATATCAAATGCCGATGCCGGAATTCCACAATATATCTCCCAGGAAACCCAGGGCTTGGTATTTTCTTCTTACTTTGTCATCCTCCTCAGCTTCGCTGACTATTTTATAGTATCAAATGTGTATGGAAAGGCTGCAAGTACAGTGGGGGGTTCAAAAGCAAAGCCTCATTGAACCGACACATTGGAACACAGCATGTTTCTCCCGGAAATTATCGATGCACAGTCTCCAAGTGCCACAAAGCATTCAACCGAAAGGATAACCTGCGGGAGCATTTGCGTCGGAAGCATCACATATATCTTTGAAGCAAGTGGATTTTGTTATGCCCAGTGGGCTTAAGAATTGTCAATAGCAGTAATCAACACCATTTAACATGTTTGCTCTTCACTCTTGAGATGTTCAGCTTTAGGTGGGCAGCATTTTAGACGAAATGAGAATATGATCAATAAAGAACAGGACATAAGATGATTTAAAGTCAATTGAATTAGCATGCGTCAAGACACCGTCGGGGCTTAATATCTTGTATTCATTCTGAAGTCACCAAGCACATAATACCATAAAAATAAATCATGCCATTCCAAGGCGAGCCAAGAGGTTCTGAATCACAAATCATTATAGGGTTGCCTTCATAACCGAGATCGCCAGATTCATGAGAAATACATATAAGTACGCAGAGTTGCCAAATCGAAGGACAAGCAGTCTGATATTTCAATTCGTTGAATCAATCAATGGCTTGCGTGAATATGGGGTCCGCGTGAAAAGGCCGCGATGAGGGGGGTTATATAGAACCGGTCGGGCGTCGGCGCTAAACCGCATATAGTAATTCATTGTCGCGACCGGAGAAGCCCTTATTTTAGATTCTTATCACTAAACAAACATTTGACGGAGGACGTGGGTCATCACTTCCTTTCAAAGCTTACAAGCACAGTCTAATCCTAAATCTAAGGCTTCTTTCTTCTAAGTTATGTTTATCTTCATTGGGATTCATTCCTTGAGCCTCGCAGCAGAACTAGTACTGGCTCCAGTGCTGCATTCCCCTTGAAGCGGTCGGCCTTGCTTATATAGTATGTCCGCTTACACCATCATCATTGAGCACACCTCGATCATCAGATCTTATCGAATCGGCTGCTACTGATAAGTAGTAATATTGGCTAATCCTAGAAATACTACTATTACAACATGTCTTTTACCGCAAAGCCGTGCGTAACTTCCAATTGTCACAACAAACGATTCTGTGCTGACGTGATACCACGACTCACTAGAACCACGCTAAAGTAGCCTTGCATGTCTACAGCTCCTGCGAGATCCTGCCCCCACCTCAAAAACAGGATCATGAGGTCGGTTGAGAGGAGGGGAATTGCGGAGAGGTCCAAATAGATGACTCTCATCCCTGAACACCGATAATATGTCCATCTATTAATTATCCGATTTCATTACAGTTCCTGCGCGGCATATGCAGTGGCTGAATTACCATCTCGACAAATCCTGTCGCCTGTCAATTCTTACGACCCGGCGACTAGATAGTACTACGACTAATCACCCGAGATTCCTTCAGCCAAACAGGTCGATCGACACCCGCTAGTGGTATTTAGGCCCCCCCTCTGGCTCCCGCTCCTTCTTTCGTGCTTGCTATTCGAAAGCAACTCCAGAACACTCCACCCTAGTCACTGTCCAAGGATGGCCCAAATGCAACTCATCTTATCCAGCAAACACCGGAAGAGCACCGGGAAGAGATCTAGGACAGGTTGTCGTACCTGCCGGTAAGGAGGAAGCAGTACATGGAAACTGATGGCCTGAGACACTAGCACTAACCGAGGACCTTCAATGCCCAGAATCCGACGCATTAAATGTGATGAATCGCCAGGTCAATGCAACAACTGCGTCTCTGCTAATTGGAAGTGCGATGGATATGATGCGTACCGGTTGCCGCAGCGCCGCGGTCTACACGACATAGGCACTCGACTTGGTTGGACGATGACCTCGGATGAACACCGTTGTTATTCCTATTTTCAATATCACTCCGTTACGAATCTGGCCGGGTTCTTTGATTCCCCGCTCTGGCAGCAGTTGGCCCTACAGATGTCTCGTGCTGATCCGGCTGTCTTTCATGCGGTAAACATGTTCAGTGCTGCGCACCAGGAGTCGGAAATACATGATATGCAGATGTCTGCACGGTCACGCGTTGGGAGCCAGCAGTATTATTTCTCTCTTCAACAGTCTACACGAGCCATAACGCTCCTGAACCAGCGCCGGAACTCCCAGGACCCCCAGCTGCGCCAAACTATCCTCCTGTGCTGCCTGCTCTTTGTTCTCTTCGATGTGCTTGTGGCGCAATATGACAGTGCGTTTACGCATTTACAGGGCGGTCTCCGTATTCTTAAAGAACTCGAGAATCAAGGGAAGCTGGAGTCGGAGGTTGCGCCATCAATCATTGCTGCATTCCGCCGCCTGGATATACAGGCCTCGCTCTATGATACTCGATTTCCGATCCTACGCCTGGAGGACGGGACAAGATCCCCGCTCAAGTTATTCGAAGCACCAACGGGCGGCTTTACTAGCCTCGGCCAGGTACGAGAGAAGATTACGGTTTTATTTACAGCCGGTATACCCTTGATTGCTAAGAGCTGGAGCCTGAACGGTCCCAACATGGAGGCCAACTATGAGTCCCTCTACCTAAGCCAACGGCGACTGCTAGCTAGTTTCGCTGATTTTGACCCATATTTCAAGACTTTTTGCGTAATGAAATATCATCAGTTGAGTGAGAAGGAGCAACTGGGAGCAGATATCGTCCACTTGCTTTACCTTGGTCATACTCTCACACTCAAAACTGTGTTGATCCGTGGTCCAGTGCCGAAGTATCTGGTTCCGGAATTCCTTGCGCTACTGCAGGCCCATGAAGACAAGATTGAGAAGCTTAGGTCTGTCTCTGGCCTGGTAATGGACCATGTCATGATCGCCCACATGTACCTTGTGGCCACACAGTGCCCAGATATGGAGATTCGAATACGCGCTATTCGTCTTCTGCGGTCATGGCCACATTACGAGGGCCTGCACAGCTCCAATGTCACTGCTCTGATGGCATTGGGGGCACTCAGAAGGGACCTTCCCAATGAAAGCCAGGCCTTGTCAGTGTTGCAGACGACAGAAGCGGAGAATGAATTTCTCGTCGACTCTTTGAAATCTATCAAGACTGGTGTGGGAGAACCTACCATTCCGCTTTTTAGAATGTCGGAGCTGCCATCGCGCCCATGATATGTAGTGAGCGATATGCGAGGACTGCGGATAGGCATTGGTAGTTTTCTCTCCAGTCAAAACCGGTTTTATCAATCAACACACGTCTCGCATAGAGCATATTCGTGGCACAGGGTTTCCAAGGACAACTGAAACAGCCCTGGGGCCCATCTGACGCGCTTCGATTCTGCCCAAAAGATAACTCCGAGAAGTCCGACGGAGCCCGAGGATCTTCTCCATAAGCCCGAGTTGCAGATCCGATGAGATCCCTTCAAATCTGGCCCCGAATGAACTCGGTGCACGATGACAAGGTCCCTAGTGTCGGATAGCTACGCCTTCAGTATTATTCCCCCTCTTGAAAGCGCAGCCCTACCCACCATGGCGGGTAAATTTTCTCGACAAAATCATGTGATGCGCTGTCTAGCTCCGCTCGGAGCCAGTTGCAACGATCTAAGCCCGAAGATTATCTCCACTGTCTCCCGCGGCCGAGTCTGCAGTGGGTCGACTTGTCTGCGATTAGGTTTCTGGGCAATTCTTAAGCTCTTTATCCAGCCATCCAACCCCCAACACATACGCAACCTCTCTATTCTCTTGTCATCACGCCCGCAAACATATTCACAATGCCCGTTCCATTCTCCTTTGCTGCCCCCTGCTACGACCGCATGGTCCCGCTCGCGACCGGCGA